TCTGCGATTATTTGTTTGTCACTCGTTTATGCAAATTTGCGCTTGTAGTTCTGCTTAAATCAACTGTTACACTTTACTGCAATTTAACATATTGTCGAATCTGCTAGTGTATTAATTCTGTTGTGTATATTTGAATCCATTATATTCAAAGTTATTGAATCTGCTACTGTGAATCTGGTATCCTATATTGAAACAATTTTCCTACACTAACAACCAGTCCACGTGCAGCAGTAATGGCATCTAAAGCCGTCGAGAAAGCTTGGACCAAGATCGGAACAGATTTTGGATCAAGAAAGCTTGATAATTTAATCTGCTTATGCTGCAAGTGTCTAAGAAAACAATGTATTTGCTGATTTTGCAATTGCTGCTGCTGGTAGAGTGATTTTGGTTTTGGGTAGGGGATGGAATGTGATAGGATAGGTTTGGAAAATGATTGTTTTCTATTTAATTATGTTAATTGTTTTTATATGGAAAGAGATAAAGTTACCATTTTACCCTTATAGAAATAATTAATAATGTGGTCAAAATCATTTTATTGGTCAACTACGGAAAAGTGGACAATTTCCGTCCAGATGGACCCCAACTGCATATTTATGAAAGGTTAACGACCTCCACTAGCACAAAATGAAGATCGGGATAAAGTCTGCAAAAATACAAAGGTTAGGGACTATTGCTACAATTTTCCCTTGATTGTAGACTAACATACCCCACTTGTGCATCAAATAAGATTTATTAATAAAAAATCATTTGTTGTCAAATTGTAATTTACTTCTTGATGTTTTAATTTATTTATTTGGTATTTAGTCTTCACTATTTTTAGTCATTTAACTGGATTTCTTAACTTTTTGAAACTTTTTAGTTAGATTTCCTTCCTTACATAAATATTATCAAGTAAGGTATCGAAAAGGTCTAAAAGCAAATATTTGTTATATATAAATAATGGGTAGAATCGAACCCGAATAGAAACCGATGGTTCGAGTTTGGGTTTAATTCTAGTAATTACCAAGATTTGAATGGTTCTATTTACGAAATACCAAAAATATAGCGGTGTGGTACTGGGTTTTGAAATACTTGGATCGACTCCTCAACACTCAGACTTAGTTGATTGCAATGTCATCTATTTTTGTCGGTTCAAATGATCGAATTAGACGAAATTATCTATTTAAAATATAATTATCTAATTGAACAAAATTAAAATACAGTTACCTAAATAAGTTAAGAATAAAGGTATTGTTACCGTGAATTAGGGATGTCAAAGGAGTCGAGCGGCTCGTAAAAAATGGACTTGTAGGCTACTTGGGCTCGTACTTGGACAAGCTTGAGCACAAGCCCTGCAAGCCGACTCGCGGACGAGCCGACTCCGCTCGGGTCACCCACGGGTGAGTGGCTCGTGTGGTGGCGAGCCACGATCCCACTACATTGACCAATAGTCATGAACTTACAAAAGTGACCGTTTTGTCCTCTCCTTTTTTTTTCTTTTTTTACTCTATAAATACTTTAACCCATTTCAAAAATTTTCACACACCAATGATTCTTACTCTCTTACACATTCTACAGTCTACTACATTATATCTTTAATTTCAATTATTCAATATTAATTATCAAATTACAAATTTACAATTACAATCTTATACTTTATTTTCACACTCTTTATTTACTTACTTAC